GAAACCTCAGTTCTTCGGGTTTGTCGTTATGTTTTGCCGTAATGTTTTTAAGCTGTTTATAGGTTTCGCGCATTTGTGCAGATGACATTGGTACCGTCAAGTTTGGGGATATCCGTTTGCACCATTTTACTTCTGAGTAGACCATCTCACCCAGGTTTGATCGGTAGATGGAAAACGTCCCGATCTGACCAAAGTCGATGCCAAATAGGAACATCTTTCCAAAATCACTGTCCGTTATCCGTAGGTATGACGACTTGTCAAAAGTGCACCTTGCAACCCTTATGGTTCCGCTATTGATCAAATTGTAAAAATAGATATTGCTGAAACTGCAATCACTAAAACTTGATTTACCACCTGCAAAATTGCCACTTACGTTGAGATTGTCTATTTCTGCGTTCTGCACATCAATGTTGTTGCCTGTGCCCAATACTGAATGGAATTTAAGATCTGATATTTTATTGCGACCTCCGTCTGCCCCTGAGATATAATAGCCCATGTTTTCGTCGCGGCCACCTATTTCAAGCTCCCCGATAACTACTTTATATAGCCTGCAAGCAAAATTTTTGTTTGAAAGAAGCAAGATAAATTCGTTTTCACTAGATATAAAGAAACCACTTGCGAGGCTACTATCCTGGACTGTTATTCCTCCTTGAGATTTAACCGTTAAGACCTGCAAGTCTCCTCCCTCGCATGAATGAAAGTTCAGGGAGTTTAGTAAGCCCCTTTTGAAATATACATCGCTGTCAAACCTGCATTTTCTGAACTCGATCTTTAAGTGGGGATTATTGATGTTTTCGAATAATAGTGAACCTTTAAAATGGACGTTTTCGAATATAACAGTGTTCGGTTTGCAGGAATGGATGTTAATGTTTCCATTAAAAACAGCATCATCAATGAATACATCGCTATCGAGAGTAGCAAGTTCATTCTTTAGGTTGCGTATTTTAGCATCATTGTAAGTTGTGGTCATGACCTTTTTAGCTGTTTGGTTATTTATTCGAGCGGCCATAGAGGGCACTTGGTTGGCCGATGGGGCAATAAATGGGTGGGTTATTTGATGAAGATAATATGCTAATCATTAATTTTGGACTATGGATTTTGGACATGTACCTGTAGAGACGTTGGAAAGCATATCCTTTCACCTAAAGGATGAGCCTGAAGGCAATCTTGACGTCCTGAAAAATGGAAAGGGTGGCACAAAGGTGCATATCGGGCTTGGTACAAGGGGCAAAGGAGAGTGGGTGGGGACGCTGTATCCCAGGGGGGCAAAGGAACCGGATTACCTGCATTACTATGGGCATTCTTTCAATGCCATAGAGGTTGGCAGCACATTTTATGGACTACCGAAGGAATTGGACATAAAGCGCTGGAAAAACCAGGTGCCGCCTGATTTTCTGTTTTGTCCCAAGTATCCGCAAATAGTCACCCATGTTAAAAAGCTTTTAGGGGCCGATGATGAGGCAGGGGAATTTCTCGATAGGATCGGTAGTCTGGGGGAGAAGCTGGGTCCTATTTTTCTGCTGCCCAGTCCGGCGATGACACTTAATGACCTGCCGGCCATTCATCGGTTTATAGATAGGATACCGAAAGCGTACAAGGTGTTCCTGGAACTCAGACACCCCAGTTTTTTTGTTGAAGGACTACCTACAAGGCTATTATCATTTTTGCGGGAACAGCGCCGTGGGCTGGTGATCACCGATACCGCTGGCAGGCGTGATGTTGCCCATATGCACTTGACCGTTCCGGAGGTTTATGTACGGTTCGTTGGAAACCTTCTACACCCGACAGACTTCTTACGGATCGACGATTGGGTGCAACGAATAAAAAAATGGAAGAATGAAGGGCTTGAACAGGTCTACTTTTTTATCCACCAGGACAGAGGGCTATATGGGCCGAAACTGGTCGCATATATGATCGAGCAACTGGAAGGTCACTGTGGGATCAAACTAAAGGCACCGGTACTGAAGCAGAACGAACTCTTTTGACCATGGGCATGATGCGGCAAACTTAGCGGTGGTAGCCGCTGAAGGTTACTATATTTTCATACCTGGCTGTAAATGAAACGACCGAAATGTTTATCAGAAAGATAGCGTTTGAGATTGAAGGGATGCATTTAGTCGTCTATGAACATACCGTGGAACGGCAACAGGTGTACAGGGTCGTTTTCCCAGATGACCGTGAGCAGCTTGTGCTGACAAGGGCCATAGATGGCGAAGGCCGATGCTTCTGGACGGCTCTGCCCGAAGGACGCAGGGATGAAGTCGAATTATTGGCCCCAGTTTTTGGGGACCTGATTGCCAACTAACCAAAAAATTACCACTATGTGTTATTATAATGGGCAGAAAGTGACCAAGAATGAGCTGATCCGTTTGCTCAAGCTTGAAAAAGCGGTTAAAAACTATGATTTCCTCAATGAGGAGCTCAAGTCCGGGCTTGAATACGGACTAAGCGCTGTGCTTGTTCCCAGGGCGGGCGACTGTCCTGATTTTGATATCGTGCGGATGGAATGGGGATTTATACCCGGTTATCTGAATACGCGCGAGGAGGTAGAAAAGATGCGCAAGGGCTATGCTGATGCATCTGGAAAGTTCCAGAAACCGATAGTGACATTGAACGGTAGGGGCGATGAGCTTATCAATCCAAACAAGATCTACCGCAAGGCGGGACTGGAAAGACGTTGCCTTGTGCTGTCGAGCGGGTTTTACGAATGGCAGCATGTGCATGGGAAAAACAAACGGACGGGCGAACCATTGAAGACTGCAGTAAAGTACCCTTATCGTATCGGGGTAAAGGACCAAGAGTATTTCTATATGGCAGGTATCTGGCAACCGTGGACCGATCGAGTTACCGGAGAGCACGTGTCAACATTCGCTGTGGTTACTACGGAGGCCAACCAGCTGATGGCCCAGGTGCACAATAGTAAAAACCGTATGCCGTTGATCCTGGAAGAGGAGCTTGCCTATCGCTGGATGTTCGATAAGCTGGACGAGGACCAGATCAGGGAAATAGCCAATTATCAATTTCCGTCCAGTAAAATGTATGCCTATACGATCGAAAGGGATTTCAGGAATACCAGTACGCCTACTGCTCCATTTGACTATCCGGGCCTTGCTCCACTAAAACTAACAGCATAGACATGACAACAGGAAAATATGATACCTTCCACCTCAATGTCGAGAT